GGGTGGCTTACAACAATAAAATCTCACAGTACACCCTCCTAAACCCAAACCCACCCACCCCTTAAGACAGTATTAAAGATCATAAAATTAAAACAATTAATAACAATAAAACAATTTTGATGATTTACAACAATAAATGTTAAAACTAATCTATAGACAGCCCACGAACACTGAATAGCATGGCAAAATGTGGCAGCAGGTGGGGGGAAATTAACTTGCTTCTTGGCCAGGAATTTAATCAGGAAAGGCCTGCTGGAAGAGATCCATCTTGACAGCCTTTTTAAAGCTGTCTAGGTTGGTAATTTGATTGATCTCGTCCGGCAGGCCGTTTCATAATCTGGGAGCGGTTTCCGAAAAAGCCCTCTGGGAGGTTGTTGACAGTCGAGACTTAACAGGTTGAAACAAATTCCTCCCAGATGACCATAGTGTGCGGGTGGGATTATATGGAAGGAGACGGCCCAGAAGGTAGGATGGACCCAAGCCATGTAGGGCTTTAAAAGTGATAACCAACACCTTGTACTAAGCCCGGAAACTGATCGGCAGCCAGTGACCGGTGTGATATGGTCTCTTCTAGATGTACTGGACCAGTGTGATATGGTCTCGTCTAGATGTACTGGAGATCAACCTGGCTGCCATATTCTGGACTAATTGAAGTTTCCCAACCAAGCACGAGGGTAGCCCCATGTAGAGCGCATTACGGAAATCTAGACAGGAGGTTACCAGAGCATGTACCACAGTTTCAAGGTCCCGTACTTCCAGGAAAGGGTGCAGCTGGTGTATCAGCTGAAGCTGATAACAGGCACTCCTGACTGTCACATTCACTTGATTAATTATGTGAAGCAACAAGTCTAGGAGCACTCCCAGACTGCAAACATGGTAAGTGTGATCCTGTCCAGGACTGGAGGTTGTATCCCAATACCTGGTTTTGGGGCCACTACTGTGAATACCTCTGTTTTATCTGGATTCAGCTTCAATCTGTTTTTCCTCATCCAATCCATTACCACCCTAAAACAGTCATTAAGAGGAGAGGTCAAGGCCGATGAGCAGGACATGGAGAAGTATATCTGGGTGTCATCAGTGAACTGATAACACCCAGCCCCATGTCTCTGAATAATCTCTCTCAGCGGCTTCATATAGATATTAAATAACATTGGAGACAGTATGGTGCCTTGTGGGATGCCACATTTAAGCTACTTTCTAGTGAAGCTGCTGCCCCTGAGCAGCACGCTCTGGGATCTACCCACGAGGAAGGAATGGAACCACTGCAGAGCAGTGCCTCCAATTCCCAACCCCTTCAGGTGATCCAAGAGGATGCTGTGATCAATTGTATGAAAAGCCTCTGAGATATCTAAGACACCAGCAGGGTCACACTATCCGTCAATGCTCAAATACATGTCATCAGTCAAGGGAATCATGTCAGCCTCAACTCCAAACCCAATCCTAAAGCCGGTTTGAAATGGATCTAGATAATCGGTTTCATCCAAGATAGCTTGGAGTTGAAGAGCCACTGCCATCTCGATCACTTTGCTCAAAAATGGTAGAAGCGAAACAGACCTGTAATTATTCATATCCAAAAGATCTAGGGAGAGCTTTTTCAGAAGCAGCTTGACCACCGCTTCCTTTAAACAAGATGGAACAAAGCCCTCCCTAACAAGGATCAAGAGGGCAAGTAGTTTTCCTCACTTTACCAAGGAGCTTGTCCATGTCATCGGTACTCACAGATTTAAATTGATCCAGTAAAATCTCAGTAACAGAGTTGCTGGATTCTGGGAGAAGTACCACCAGGAGGCATAGATAATGATACATAACTACATATCGCATGTATGCCCCCATGCAAGACTCCAGCCCACGTTTCTTGTGCAAAAAAAAAAAGTTTTCTGTGCAGAAAACAGTTTCCTATGTCCAAACCCAGGTTTTCTGTGCAGAAAATGGAAGGTTTTGAACAAAATGTCCCACATTTTGACTGCATAGATTAATTCCTCTTCAACATTTTGAAATGTTCTGGGAGAATACTGACGAGGAATATTCTTCTTAAAACAGGGGGAAAACTACAGCAATGATTCAGCCTCACATGCAAGGATGCAATTATCAATGATTCACATCCCTATTCTACACAATACTGTGCTTCAGTCAACATGAAGAAATTGAATTACAAATTTTATTTCAGACTTCCCTGTACATTATCTTAGCAAAGCAGTTTGCAGTGTAACAAAAATGCAGATATTAGCAGACATTTCCTTTACAATGTGCAGGAAGGAATGCATATACACATATGTGCATGCACATGCATACATATATCACTCTTTCTTCTGGTCAGTTTTACTTATGGTTGATAAACATAGGAAAGGAAGAGGGAGGGAAGGATAGGGAGGAGCTCCAGGAAATAATGAGTGGATGTACCATTCCTATAACCTTCCATCAGCCTCTAATTCCCCCCTGAAATTAGAGTAAGCACAGGGCTACAAAGTACATAATGGTCTCATAATGAATAGCTCAAAGTTCTGCTCTGCAACTGCAAAGATTAATTAAGTATCAATAAATCAAGCGAGAAAATGAATAAGCAAGCAAGGTAGGAAGCATGATATACATGAAGAAATCCTAACCCAAATCAAACTTGTTTTTGTGCACCTTCAATTTGTTTCCAGCTTATAGCAACTCTAAGGTGAACTTATTGTGAGGTTTTCTTGCTAGGATTTTTTCAGAAAGCGTTTGTCTTTGCCTTCCTCTGAGACTGAGCGAGTATAACTTGCCCAAGGTCATCTAGAGGGTTTTCATGACTGGCCATGAATTTGAACTCTGGCTTCATAGAGCTAGGGTAGTGTAGTGGTTTGAACATTGGACTGCTACTCTGGAGACCAGGGTTCAAATCCCCACTCAAGCATAAAACCCACTGGATAACCTTGAGCAAGCCACATTCTCTCATTCACAGAGGACGGCAATCCCCCTCTGAAATTAACTTGGTTAAAAAAAAAACAACAACTCTATGATAGGTTCACTTTAGGATTGCCATAAGTCAAAAATTACTTGAAGGCACACAACAACAACAACAACAACAACAACAACAACAACGTCCAACACTCAAATCACCACACAGATTATCCAAATGAAACTAGATCCAACTAAACCAGTGAAACCAAGCAACTGACAATTAAGAGGATTATTAAATTATCCACAAGTATATTTCACTCATGGATTTTGGTGTTCTGCTATTGTTTGATGATGAACACAACTGAAATGTGTATAGTTGCATTCCCCTATTTTTTTAGTTTCCATACTTTGTTCAGACCATTGCATGCAAATAGTTTCTTCAGACTGTTAATGTCATAGCATAAAAATTCACAATGAGCACTAGTACATAGCTGCAGTGATTGAATCTCAGCACAGCATTATTTTCTTTGTTCTTTGCTAGAAAAGTTGAAAACAGTAAAAAGGGACTTGCTTGGTTATGTCCATAGCAAAAAGAAAAACAAGCAAATGTACTGCATGGAGAAGATGGCGAATTGCTAACAATGGACAGAGAAAAAGCAGAATTACTCAAAACCTTCTTTGCCTCTGTCTTCTCCCAAAAGGCAGTGATCAACTTGGGGAAAATGGAGCAGGTAATGATGTTGGGAAAATGTAGCACAGAATAGGTAAAGTGGTAGTACAGGAATATCTGGCTACACTAAATAAATGAAGCCTCCAGGGCCATATGGACTTCATCCAAGTGTATTGAAAGAACTAGCAGAAGAAATCTCAGAACTGCTGGAAGTAATCTTCAGGAATTCCTGGAGAACTGGAGAAAACACAGCAGACTGGAGGAGGACAAAAGTTGTCCTCATCTTCAAAAAGTGAAAAAGAGAGGACCCAAATAATTATCACCCAGTCAGCTCTAACACCAACACCAAGGAAGGATCAGATATAGGATAGGTGGCACCTGTAGTGCACATTCTCCTCCACTTTTGTTTTCCTCTTCTCATCCCTCATTTTCTCTCTCTTAACTGTTATTTGAATACAAGGGGATCTTGCAGCACCTTTGAGACTATCTATGTAGAAGAAGTTGTAGCTTTATGCTATGGAGAGCATCATTACCTGCTCCATTACTTGCTCTGACTAACATGTTGCTATGTCTCTGAATTAACAGTTTGAAGTGTTTAGGGGGCTCTGTGGAGTGAAGCAGCACAATATGGAGTGCTTCTAGAGAAACATGATTGCAGTTTTCTCTGCTGTTGCATGATGGTTAGAGAAGTCTGCCACCTAGTGACTGAAGTTGATAGTACAGTTTGCAGAGGTTTTTTAATAAACAAAAATTAGTTCATTCCCCCCTCAAAAAAAAAAACAAACAAAAAAACAAAACAAAGAAAACAAAGAAAAAACAAACAAACAATTCAAACCCTAAGGTGTATATTCCTAGGCCTCCCTCAACATCTATGCCAAATTTCAGGTGTTTACATTTTACATCTTCTCTCTCTTATTATTACTGATAGCTAGAAGCCAGTGGAGCTTCAAAAGCTTGCAACAAGTATATTGTGCATTTCAGTTGGCCAATAAAGGTATAACTGTTTGGTGGATTTTTGTTTGAATTATAAAACTCCATTTGGGAGTTTTTGACAGATTTTTAACTGATTGCATTATCTGATCAATAAAAATGTGCAGGTCTGTTAAATACTATAGCCATATGGACTTTGAGAGTTAGTTCACATATGCATAGTGCTTGATTGTTCAACATTTTATGACACTAATTGATAACTGAAAGTGTAAATGAACTCAGATGCAAAGAGGTGAAAAAAGTTATCTGTGGTGGTAAGTCTATATTGTTCCCTCTTACATGTAAACTATTAAGTGGTGTTGTGGTCTACAAAGAAAAAAAAATCCATAAAACAACTCCAAGTATGAAAGAAAACCCATACATTTGTTCCAATGTTTAAGAATCAAGTTAAAAGTACTACTTTCCTAGAGGAAAGCTGGAAAATAAACCCAGCAAACATTTGTTCATTGTGTATCATAATACATACGAGTGTATGCAAATTCTTCATTTCCAGCCTTGAAGCTAAGCTAACTAGCTGAGTGAAAAATATTGCTTAGAAAGAGCCAGGTGACAGCCCTAAGTCAAGGGGAGTTTTTCTCTACAGCACTGATTCCCAAAGTGAACAGTATACACTCCTGGGGAAGTGGAAAGGTCCAGAGGGGTGGCAAGGGGGAAAGGAGACAGCAGGGGGGCTTTCAATCAAACTATTGGTATGCAAGAAAGACAAGGGGAACCAGTGGCTTTGAGGACCATGGTGAGGATGACGGTTGCATGAGTTCCTTAATACC